GGAAAAATGGGAGAATTAGAAATGGAAAATGACATTGTTTGGAATTCTTTCTAAATTCTAGGTTTCAATCAGGATGATTTCCTAATAAATGCTAGATCAAGAGCAAACTTTCTTGGTATCACATGATTGCCTTGTAATTGGTATCATGAAATAAGGAAACTAATATAATAGGTTCCCAATGAACCTGTTCTTATATATACATTAAATAGACTAAGAGAAAATTCATCATTGCTTCTTAGTATGTTCCCTGACATAGATCCCTTCTAGCAGCTTTCTTCTTAATGGTTTCTCTCTCTCTTTTTTTGAAAATATAAAGGGTGTTGAACAGTGCTACTGCATTTATGATTTTCTTTGGGGCCTCCCACAAACATTAGTTATATAGTTAATTGTATAGTTATACAATTACATTTCTTTTTGTGTTTTTATAATAAAGCTAAGTTTATCGGTAACAAGCTTGCTCGCTTGCCACTGAAAGCCACTTGTAGAACAATCACAAGATAGAAATATGATTTTCACAGTTGGGTTCTAACCGTTTTCAAAGCCATTGGCTGCTATATATCAGAAACAGGATACTGACTAGATCAAATCCTATTGATCTGATTGATCATATTAATCTAGCTTTTTTACAGTCTTATATATAAGCAGATTGTTGATTATGGAAAGGAATTTATGCAGAGAAAGCCTTAGGTTAGGTCTTAAAGGAAATTTACTTCACTAACTTTTGACTATTTTAAAAATATTTTAACAGATACTATCAGGTAAGTGTCAAGTTTATCTTTTTTTAAAAAAATAATTGTATTAAAAGTTTTCATTAGAATAGTAAAACATAATATACATTTAATAACAAAGGAAAAATAGAGCAAATAAAAGATGCAAGTAAACCACAACAACAAAACAGAAAGGGGGGACCCTAAGAAACTGACTTCCCATCTTACAATGACAAATATAAATAATTTCATTATCTTTTCACTTCCTCTCAATTAACAAATATAAAATCCGTCACATAATTCAACTCTTAATTATAGGCAAACGCAATAAATAACATCTCCTCCAGTCCAGGTATTAGCAAAGTCCAAAAAGAGCCCTAAAATAATAACATTAATTAACAAATGTAAAACTCATCATTCTGTATCTCAACTGTTAACTGTAAGCAAACCCAGATTTAAAAGGCATAAAGTGGTCCCAGTATTCTACTATAAACAAAAGGCTAAAATATAGCATGAAAAAGAGGGGAAATATCTCCTCCAAGAGGGTAAGTTCACAAAGAACCCTTATTTAAGTGAAAAAACAATTAGATACTAAAGCAATTTAGATGCTGTCAGATTGGGATATATAAAGTGATTGCAAGAAAAAAAGCATGTTAACTGTAAAAAGTCCAATACAAAACATTTTTCCAATTCAGATGTCAACAAGTCCCAAAAGAACCATCCAAAATAACACGTTCAATTTTAATCCTGATTGAATGCATTCCTTCCTTTTGGGTAAAATAATCTTGCTCTTTAATCCATTCAGATAACTGTTGATCTTTGTCTCAATTTTCTACTAAACTTTAAAATGCCTCTTTTGTATGTCCAGCAAAAATAAATTATCCCAATTATTTTTTGGGATTGGCATTCTTATTTCCTTAATTCTTAAAGCCTCACATGATTTTTTTAACATTAATGATAAATTCACATTCTCAGATAGATTTTGTTGCAAATCCTTTTCTAACAGCTTTATCTGGGAATAGACTGTTCCTAAGAAGAGACAACACAGCTGACATCAATGATTCAAGAACCTGGTGCAATTCCTCAAAAATGTCTCTGAATGCCATTACAAGTTATCTTGTTATGTCTCCAATATTAAAAATAATTGTTCTTTCCAACAAAAATATATTTATTCTTTACAATTAATTTTAAAGTCTGAATGCTGCAAATCAAATGTCCAAATGTTTACAGATCCATTAATCTGTTTAAAACTTTATATAGCCAAAACCTTGTTCTTGCTTTTTGCTGTTTATTTTGAGTTCTTAGAACTTATAAACAAAGTTTCATTTTCTTATATTAAGGAAGGAAGTCCCAAAGGTGTTTTTTCAAGAGGCAACTGGACTTTCTTTGAAGATG